TGTCTTGAACTTTTTGCCCTAATACTATCTTTACTCTGTCAATTCCTTCTGTCATTGCTGCTCTTTCTATTACTTTTTTCTATTCTCTCGCTACTGTTACTATATTACTATCTACTTCTAAAATTTCTGCAATCATTTATCTATGTGATCTTCAAGACCCATTACAGTATCACTCCCTTCAGCTATTATCTCTTTGCTATATTCTTTAGTAACTATTCCAACTAATTTTGTTGCTTTGGCTCTATTCCACATAATTCTTATCTCTATAATCTATTTATGAAGTGATCTCATCTTTTTTTATTATTTCCTTGTACCTTTTCCTAATTACTAGTAAGCTGTTCGGTTTTGGTTTTGCATATATCGTTACTATTGTTAGGCATGTGATATGTCAATTTACTCATAACGTGTTTTGTTTATCTTACTTTGCAAGTGTTTGTGCTATGTCAAGTGATCTATGTCTCAAGGTTTGTTTGATTCCCCAAATTTCTAAAAAAAATTTTTGATATTTGTTCCAAAGTCAAAAGTTCTTCTATAATTCTATTTTCTTCTAGCTTTTCTTCTATTCTTCTATTTAACTATATGTATTTTCCTCTTCTGCTTTCTTTTATTTAGTAGCAAAAAGGCTTGTTCTTAGTGAAATTCTTGTGTTTTCTTTGTTTTTCTTTTTGCTCCAAATTTGGTCAGAGTGATCGATGGAGAGAATTTTTTTTTTGGGAGTATTATTAATTGATTAATTATTTATTATTATATTATATTTGATTTTTAGATTTATATATTAGCATTTTTTTCAAATTCTTAATAGCTAAAAATAGATTTAGGTTATACTATTTGATATAGCTCGATTAGACCTTCAAAATAAGCTATAAATCATATCTGTAGCACATATAGTTTTTGAGTTACCTTAGGATTTATATTTTGAGTAACATCTACATTTAATAACATTTGATGATATTTAACTATGTTTGATGATATTTAACTATGTTTGATAACATTTAACTACGATTAATGACATTTAGCTATGTTTGATAATATTTAACTACATTTGAGAATATTTAGAAAAAAGATATATAAACTCTAGCTTTCCTCTCTTTGTAAAGTAGTTCTATAGAATTCTAACAGTTTTTGTATAAGTTCTGTAGTTCCTTACAATTCTCTAATATAGTCTGTATAGTTCTTGTATTAGTTCTATCAAGTTTTAAAATAATACAGTACTCAATAAAGTCCAAAGTCTTCTATTAAATCTTAATAAAGTATACCTTAGTCTTGCCAAAATACTTTCTTTAAACGAACTACTACAGTGATGTGATATTCTACTTTAATACCATTAGAAGTCTCCCTTCTGTATCTTATATTACTTGTGATATATTAAGAAGGCTATGCCACTTGTAATATTTTAGTGCTTTCTGGTAGAAAAGAAATAAAAAGCTTCTATCAGGTATATTATCCAATATGAACAGATGATGATAAAACTATGGATGAACTATTAGAATTATAGTGTATCTGATGACTAAAAGAAAATCAAAAGAGAAGTTTCTTAGAACGATTTATAATTTCTTATCATATTTCACTAATATCTCCATGAATATTGAACATAGAAGGATAAAACATATACTTTACAACTCACAAGAATCTACTATACAACTTTTATTATAGTATATCTTAGTATGAAAATGCTTCTCTAGTCCGCAAATTGGCTTCAAAGATTCTATTAGCATTTTCAAAACTAATTTTCTTAGAGAAGACCCAAGAAGAGAAGAAATACATAGTTTAAGTGATCTACAAACATCATTATATCTTGCTTTCTGCAAACAGATTTTAATGTTTCAATATTTGTTAGAACTGTAAGGACTTGGTCTACAACTTTACTTAAGATACCAAGTCAAGGTTACATAGTATGAATACTCTTCTAGAATAGCTTTTATGAAATTGATCTGCAAAATATCTTTTTCTTTACTATGCCAAATAGGCAAAAATTTTTAGAAATTTTTCCTACTTCTAACATGATAGATGACCTTTACAAAACTCATTACTTTTAGGTTACTATATACCTATAGTAACTAAAGAAAGTAAGTTTTATAAACTTAGATGCAACTAAACTCTTAGATACTTCATAGAGTTTAAACAACTTTACCATGAATATGTAACTTGCATATGTATATATTCTTGTAAATTATTATCTTGGATGATACTTATATCTAACTCCATTGTAGATATAAACTCAGAATATTATGAACATTACTTTGAATATTCTATTTTACTTTATTTAACTCAAGACAGTTTGTTACTTATATAAAAGTGACTGAAGGTTAGCTAGCTTTACCCTATTTCAAAAACCTTAAAGATTATTACAGATTTATCAAAAACAGTTTGCTACTTCTGAGCAAAAGTAAGCTGATAGTGAGAATGTCTTTACTCTTTGCAAAAGGCCATTGTATAAAAAGACTTATAGTTTGTCAATTCTGAGTAAGATATGACTAGTGGTTTTTATGTTATTACTTCTTAAAAACATAGTAAAATTTTAATTTAATTTATTAAGCTAGAAAGATTTAATCAAGTACCTTTGAACATTAATGCTTAGAAATTTAACTATATATACATTAATGAAAACTTTAGATTTAATTTCTTTTAGAAACAGATTCTCTATGATACCCAAATAAAATATATTTAGATGAAAAGGATTTTTAGATGTAATATTCCTGGATGACAATAACAATAACAAATAGATAGCTCACAGCTTACTGCAAACCCACAGAAGGAATAATGCTCTGCTAGTAAAATATACTTCATGAGCCAAATTAGATAAGCATAAGAATACAACTATAGCTTGTAGCTTACTGCAACCCCACAGGAAGATAAATACCTTGCTAGTAAAGAGTTCTTCAAGAGCCAAATATGTAGGTGTAAGAACCTAACAAAATTTTAGAAATAGAAATTACAAATTAATATTTTTAATTATTTAGACAATACTACAATATCTACAACCTACTTTTGCATCTCTAAAAATTTGATCTTTTTACTATGACCTTTCTTATTTTAAAAACAATATTCTTATTTCTTCTCTTATGCTTTTAAATTTAATGACAAAAACTTTCTGCTCAACATCTTTACCTCTCTTTTTAATAATTTTACCTTCTTCTTGCCTTCTTTCATCTCTCTTACTCAAATCTTTCTTTATCATTAATTTTCATCAAACATTATTTTTTTTATTTTTTTTATTCTCTTTAATTATTTTAATATTAGTTTTATTTTTCTTTTTCTTGGTTAATAAAATATGTAGTAGCTGTAACTGTGAATAACAAGTATTGTAACTTGTTAGCATATTTGTTAATCTGAATTTTGAAAACTATATGTAATTGTTGATAGTATAAAATTATGAGTAGTAAAAGCCTCTTGCAAGCTCTAGCCTATTCGAATATAATAGATACTATCTTGTTTTCTGTTTGTCTTGCTTATACATAAAACAAAAAATCTTAAGATTCAAAGTTTTTACTACATATTGTAATTTATAAAAGGTCTTTATTTTCTAGCCCACTATGAAATCATAGATTCCAAATTTATTAATTCTTTATTTTATTTTTTTTATTTTATTTTTATTTTTAGAATATACATTAAACATTTTAATAAATCTATTTCACCCGTTAGATCTGTTTTATTTATGCTTAATAGACATACTAGTTATATTGATTTGATTAGTATTAATTATTATCATGATAATGATATTTTATTATATGTTCTTCTATCTAATACAACTTATTTACTTCAACTCTCAGAAATACTTTTTAAAAAACTCAAGCTTGAATTTGATAAAGCATCAGATAATTACAGACTTACCAACAACCAAAAAATAGTTACAAAGTATTTTTTTGCATAAGTTTTTAGTAAAGCTTTTCATAAAACTTATACTCCTATAGCAATTCAGAATACTTATGCTGCAACTAGAATTTAGCCTTGGAATCTAAATATTATAAATTCAAATTATTTAGTACTATCATTATCAATAGAAAAATTAAACTTATCATCTTCTAAATTAATTCATACTCATAATATATGAAGTCTTAAAATTGTTTAACTTGAAAAAGAAAATCAGCAATTATGTGAACATATTAAAGTTTTTGAGTATACAGGTATATCAACTTTATCAACAATTATGAAATATCTATTTATGAAAACATCATTAACAGAAGAAAAACCTAAAACAAGACCTAAAACTTTTAAATTTGGAAGTTTAGTAACTTCTGAAAAATTACTAAAGAATTACAAGAAAAAGAAAATATAAAACAAAAAAAACTTAATGATATAAAATTAAAAAAAGAACAACGAGTAGCAAAAAAAAGCAGAAAAAGAAAAAACA